GAGAGAGAGAGAGAGAGAGAGAGAGAGAGAGAGAGAGAGAGAGAGAAGAATCATGGAACATGTTTGTATTTTTACTTTATTATCAATCAGGACTTTTATTTTCACCTGAGACAAACCATAACGACACATGTGATTAATTGCTGAGGCCATTTAACAGTGAGAGATTATATATTCTAGTTTTTTTTTGTAGATTCCATGCTCTACTTTTGTCTTGACTTCTAAATACCTCTGATGTTCCTTTCACCACAGGCTCTATGCCAGATGGTGGTCCTCTTACAATTAGCTGACCAGTTAACTAGAAATTTGAATGTTTTATTAGAGTCACAGACAGAAATTGATGGAGCAGAATATGTCGGTAGGGACAGAAGAACTTTAAGACAGAATGAAGAAGAAGAAAAAAATAATTGGTATTCCCAATCCAGAGGCATTGAGAACAGTTGTGGGATAAACCTCATTTTTTTCTGGAATTAGTGACAAGGCATTCATTTTGATGTATCTGGAACTTAATAAGTGAACAGGGCCCTGTTTGTTTCCCTTTGAATGATGAAGAATTTCTCTTGGGTAAGGGAAGGATAAAAGGTTTCAGGCAGGAGAGATGTTTTCAGTGGGTGAAGCCCTCAAGGTAAAAAGAATTACCTTGAAGTTTACCTACCATTTAGAGGAAAGTGATGAGGGTTGCTGGCCTGCAGGTGAAAGAAGGACCTGATCCATAATGTGGACAGGGGGTGGGCATGGATTATCACTTGTCTGAGGTAAGTAGGGCCAGCAAAATTCCATAGGAGAAAGCAGACATGATAGAGTAGAGGAGTGAGCAGGTGTTCAGGGAGAGGTGATGGTTTGTATAGGAGGCCAGCATTTAGAGTTGGTCTCCCATAGATGAGTTCAAATAGTGGAATTGACAGGGCCTGCTTGGGAAGTCAACAGAGCCTGAAAATACCTGGTGACAATAATTCCAACCACTCAGTGTGAAGATGCTCTGGCAGCTTAATAAGAATATTTTTTTAAGAAATGTTGATATGCTTTAACTTCCCTGAAGACTTAGGAGGGTAAGTGATATGAAAATACCATGGTACATTAAGAGCTTTAGACATGATCTGGTAAATCTTGGAGGTGAATTCCAGACAATTACTAGACTCAAGAAAGACCAAGATCCCAAATAGGCAGATGATCTCCCAGAGGGGGATGTCAGTGACTGTTTTAGGCCATTTATTAGAAATTAGAAATGCCTCAACCTAACTTGAAAATGAGTTCAAGACCATGAGCAGATATGCAGTTCATCTGACAGTGGCCATAAGAGTAAAATCAAGTTGCCAGTCAGTTCCTCCAAAGGAACCTCTAGCCTATTGTGTGGAGAAGTTTGACTCAATATTTGGAATTGGGATTTGACTTTGGTAAATTTCGCAGGAGGCATTAATAGTTCTTAGAACTGTAAGTCCTCAGAGGTAGGCTGTAGGTGGTCTTTCATGAATTGAGACAGGTCATGATTATTAGTGTGAAAGAGCTGATGGAGATAGCACAGAATTAGCCTATTGTCAGGAGTTGACTGGGATGATGTGGGCTGCTTTGTATGGATTCCCTGAGATGAAAGTGGCAAGTCTAGGCACTTAAGGGCCAGTCTTCTAGCTACCTTGTCAACCTGATTTATTCTCCAAGAGATGATGGAAATGTTGAAGTGCTTTGACTGACAATGGATGATTTCTGTAGCTTTGGGGGATGGAAGGCTTTGAGCATGGCCATTATTTGGCCTGAGTTAGATATGAATCCTCTCTTTGCTGTAAGGAATCTCTTTTTTTCCATAAAGTAGCATGGGACACTATGTTATTAA